AACACTAATTATTAAATGTTGGAAGAGTACTGAATCTTGCAAGTCAATACGTGAATCAATGAAATAGAACTTTCGATGAAAAGTTGAAATGTGATAATTGTATCAATATGCTTTGATAAAATATGACACATTAGTTAATATAGTCAGCTGAGAATAAAGTCTACAATCAAACTCTAACAAGCTCAACGATATGGGTTTGCTTTGCTCATTGTTTAAGGCACTATGGTGACCTATAGTTGCTTTAATCTACATCATTTGGTGTCTGGTATACAGTTGTCCATTTCAAGTATAACACACCTCCTTCTTTACGTTAAAAATACAAGTGTGGACACCGACGTGTTTTGCCTGATGGGCGAATGATGATAATAGATTGTGCAAAGGCGGATTCTGATGTAGCCAGCAGGCACATATGCTACTTTTAAATCTAAAATTATATTGTATTGTTTGATAGCCGGGCTAATTGTGAAAAATTCTTTCCATTGAAAAAAACTATATTTCGGGACCTTTTTAAGCAGACTATGCGGTATGGGTTTGCTAATTGTTAAACGCCGTATGGGGAGCTATAATTGTTAACTTCTACGTCATTTGGTCTCTCGTGGAAAATGGTCTCATTGGCAATGATACCACATTTTCGTATTTTTATATACACAAGGTCATGTTTTCCCAGACTGTTTTAAACCTCTTTACACTAAATGAGCTATACTCAAAACAGTTCATATCAATTATTTTACTATATTGACTTATAGCATTTTGGTTTTTTATTGGTTATTTTGCGTATTTTAAGGGATTACATTCATGACAAGCATATGTTCATGTAGTTTAGGCAAGTGTCTGCACCCTTCATCCTGATCGGTAATTCCTCAAACAGAAATATTTTTTTCCGAAATATAGGTACATGAATATATACTATTTCCCCTTACATAAATAATATACCATGAATGATAAGACCTATTATACCCCAGCCTTAAACACATAAATATGGTGTATTATTTACGTACTCAACAAGGAAAAATAACCCTGAAAATCTAATAGCAAGATAAAACAACATTAGTCAGGGTGTGCATCGACCAAAATTACTGTACATTATTACATTACCTTGAATAAATGAATAATGAAGATATTTAGGGAAAACTAAAATGAAATAGCATCTCAACTACAAAAATAACCAAATGACACATAGAGGACATCATAAGTCTTCAACAATAGACCCGTTTCTATACAAGCTGCCAACTCTTTATTGCACCAAGTCTATTAAAGTTTTGAAATATTTTAACAAAAACAATCAAAGATATGCCAAAATCAATCAATTCTCCAATTAACGAAAAACATAAAGATATGACATACGACAGCTATACTGACGATGTTTACGATACGAAAAAGTGTGGACACGTTATCTGATGGACAAATATTTATTATGAATTGTACATTGGCAACATTATGGTGGGTAATAGCATATGCCACTCTAAAATCTAAAAGTATGTTGTATTCTGAGTGGCGAATGTGGACACTGATTTACATTAAAAAGACTAATACAGATACTTCAGGAAGTCACAGCACTCTACCAATGAAGTACAAATCTGGGCAAAAACACTCACCATGACTGATGTTGTTCTGCAAATATGTCGTTTTTTGTATTTGATTATGTCATGTCTAGACTTCAAACTCAAATTTAAAGGATGTAGCTAAAAAATAAAATTTGATAGTACCTTTAAAATATGAGTTTAAAGCAAGAAAAAAATATGATTTAATACCTCCGAAGATCAGTGAACAATTTTGATAATGATTCTGAAAATACAATGAATACATTTAGCGTCTGGTTGGACCTGTGAGTTTATTCAATTACCTAAGAGTTGACAGTGGGGTATAGAAATATGGTGATTCCTTGGTCTTCTTCAGACCGGTAATAAATACCCTTCCCGCATTTGGGCGTTCGTTTGTCTTTGCTGGATATCTAAATTCGTAGCAACGTCCAGTCAGAATGGGGATGTTAAATCCCCAGTCTCATTAAGGGGGAGTGCTACACTCTCTGCACATTATTAACCCTTACAACAACTCTTTGAAGCATTTTTCTGGATTTACCTTCATCAGGAACGCTCAAAGCCGAATATTTGAAAGCCGAGGATGTAAAAGTACCGAAACAGTTGGAAGAGCTATATGACAAACAATTCCTAAAACAAAAACCAAATCCATCTAAGGTCAACTTTGCCTGAGAAAGTTGAAACCTTAGTTTCTTTTTAAATCGTGTAATAATTTTTATATACCTATATTGAGTTTTTTTCTTTCAGAACGACAGGTCTTTCTTTTGAAGAATCAACCCGGACGATAAAAAGTGTCAACGAAATTTGCTTCAAGGCATAACATAATGAGCTGTGTAAGGTCATTATTATCCTTGATAAAATTGCAAACTATAATTTACTTAAACGTTCAACTCATTTGACAGTTATCATGTGTTGTTGCCAAATGTGGTTTTACTTTTTAATTTAACTTATTTGATAGGTTTCAGACAGAAACAATCCTTTCCTCCGTTTATTACACTGAAATACCAAAAATCGTCGTTGACGCAGTTTAACTTTCGAAACAAATAATGTGAAGTTTTGTTAATTTATCGCTACAATAAAGGGACATAATGTGAGATGAATTTAATAATGCAAAACGTTTCATAACACTTTTAAAACAAGCCAGATTTATCACATTCGTGTGTAGGATTCTGAAAATCTTCCGGTGCGGATCCAGGATTGAAAAAGGGGCCCCCTAGCCAGCCAACTTTTGGAGTAATACTAGTAAAATGTTTATGCATTTATCATATATGAAGCTCCATACCCCCCCCCCCCCCCCCCCCCCCACGTGAACCCGCCTCTGATCTTATTGGTTCACACTGTATTGGAAATCATACTTTGACCTATGGATATTCGTTTTTTGAGTGACATGTACATATATCACGATTCCGTGCTCTCTTCGTGTCAGTTGTTATCTATTTTACATCTATATATACCTTTTACTCTATCAAGTGATCAAATGACCAAATATTCTTATTTCTACAAGAATAACAGCCACGAACTGTATAGTGGGGTGGGGTTGTATAATATTTAATCCTGGTTATCAGTTTGGAAAAAAAAATGTATTGCCAGACAAAAGAGAGAAAGCAGTTATTCTGAATAGATCGTTAATAATTGTTGAAAAAATAATCTGCTTTTCCGCGATAAAAAATGTCATGAAAAAAGAGAAAAAAAAACACATACCATTCCCCTTTCATAAAGTTGATGCAATAAATTACTTACAAAGTGACTTGTATTTTTCATACGCCGTAACAATTCATTAGTGTCTTGCTTAATGCAGTTACAGTAATATTTGTATTGTAACTGGATAAGGATTTCTTAATGTTATATCTAAATTAATTAGTGAGTTTTATTTCCCACTATAAATGAGCCTTTGTGTGTATTTAAGCCTGAACGCATCTGAAGAATATCCCACTTTAGTGGGGTCGGTAAAATAAGATGCAAATTCTGCAAATTTTTGCAGAAAATAATATTTTTTTACGGTATATAAGTCAGATAATGCATATTATCAGGATTGCCCAATGAAAGACCTCCCCTTCCTTTGGGCAATCCTGACACCCCGAGGTGACTTATACAACAAGAAAAACCTTAGAGTATGCATTATCTATTACATTATGTGCGATCATTTGCAAGGCCTAAAACACATACAAACGGTGCGGTATCTTCTCGATGTTGACTAATTACTTTCAATGCAAGGAAAATAATTGTCTCAATTTTCCTGTGGTGTTAGGAATTTTTTTTTATATGTATATGACTGGTGTTAGGAAGTATTTTTTATATATATGTATATGACTTTCCTTCGCTTTGAACTTGTAAGGGACTGTTGTCATTGTACATAATCAAAGGACATGCATAGTATTATTTGAATTTATATTAGATAATCAGCAATAAGTTATTCAAACCGTCAAACAGAGATTGATTGATAATGAAATCCAGGACGGCATGATTTTATATCAGCTGTTTAAGTAATAAGATCGTGCTTGTAGTAACTCGGGTCATTGATACGGTTTATAAATGTTTTATTTATATTTGTGTTTAATCTATCGTACCTTTTTTTATCTCGCCAATGACGAATTTTGCAGAATGCATGACTTTGGAATGCTTATCTCGTGGCAAAAAGACCAATGCTGATAGTAACAACGATAATAACAATGACATGCTAAAATAAAGAGATTGAGACAAAATCAAAAGTGAAAAATGATTTGGAATTCTATGTGTTTTGAAGGAAAAACTACTACCTGGATATTCTATATCAAAGGTTCAGGAAACGTCGTAAATGGTCATAACCCGGAACCTATTTATCGTAGGGATCAACTGCCTTTACCATTGGACCCCTTTAAATGAGACCTTATAAAAAGGTCAAATTCAAATCTATGAGACCACAATTACACTCAGAAAAATACATAGAAACTTTTTACTTTTCGATTTAGGCAGACAAATGCTAACAATGTGAGCATTGTTTCACAAAAAAGCATTTCTGCTTTTCAAAAGTCACTTTCTGTTTTCAAATGTACTTATCAACCCTCATTTTAAATTTAGTATAGCATAGAATATAACATGATACAATCTTCAACAAAAAAGGAGCTTTTCGGAAAATGTCCTCCTAGTTTATAAAAATACCAAGCAAACATATATTTTTAGAATATAAAAGAGTAAAAGTTTTCACTTGGATCATATTTCGACCAATCAAGGCACGTGTTTTAAACAAACAATCGGCATTCCCAAGGGAACCAACTGTGCTCCTCTTCAGACTTCTTACATGATTTCCATAGGAAGAATGAAAAGAATCTAGCATTATCCTTTACCTTTACGTCCAGCCATAAAGATAAACTTTTTGTTGTTTATCTTTTTATCGTTTTTATTTTTTGTTAATGAGTTTAAATGTCCCTTTGGTGTCATCTGCCTATCTTTTTCATTAATACATACATGTATTCTGTTTTCAGGATGCAGTCGATATTGCTCTTTCTGGTCTATTGTTTTTTGACAGTTGGAGCTGGATATACCGATTTTGAGTACCTTTTGGATCAATACATCCTAATTTGCGGCAATATTCTATGTAATGTAACCAAACATTTTTCCCCAAAAATTCCAGCGGACTTATCGACTTGTACAGAATGTTCTTGTGATGAAAACTGTATTTTCGATGGAAGCTGCTGTCCAGATATTTTTTTCTCTCTCAATCTTGAATGCACAAACACTTCAATCGTTTCACACAGTTACGAACCTGATGACTTATTCGAAGATTCATTTCTGATGAGAGGGACTTGTCCCGAAGATACAGATTCTTCCTGGAAAGCTAATTGTGAGGGTAACAAAACCTTATCAGAAAAGATACAATTTCTACCCGTAACCTCTTCAGAAACTATGATTACTTACAAAAATAAATTTTGCGCTCAATGTAATAATGAAAGTAAATTTGAGCAATGGATATTAAATTCAGTGTGTGACGAATTCGTAGATTCTAATTTCATTTCATCCTTAGATGATATGCTCAAAATAGCTATAGACAAAAAATGTAAAATAAGAAGTAATTTAGCTGGACTGAACACCGCTGGTTGCTTTAGAGTGTACGGGTACAACACCATAAAGACTTGTAATGTATCCGGTTCTTGGATGACATACAACAAAGACATTGAATGGGCATGTCTGAATTACAATAACAAATTCCATGACTTTAAGAATGTTTTTTGTTACATATGTAACCCACCAGTAAAAGTTGAAGAAGTAATAACAGATTGTAACATTACAGGGAAATTATTTTGGCATGAAGATTACCCAAATGTCCAGACAGCTTGTAAACAACTTGGTGCAACAACAGCAACATATCCTTTTAAAAATATCTACTGTTACCTCTGCAATTCAATACCTTTGCAACATTACATAAATGACAGGCGTGTGTTTATGTATTCCGATGCGAATGTCTATATAGAAGAAAAGGTGGTAAACGGGAAATACTTTGAATATACTTTTGAAATAGATTCTTTTAACGCTGAATTCAGGGATAGTTATTTAAAGACACAAACTAATTGGTCTTCCGAGACACATTTGATGATAAATAACCGGGTTAATTTAACGGAAATTTACACATATTATTATGCTATGACAGGAAATGGTCATTTCTGTGTAAATATATCATCTATTATAATGGCAGACGAAAGACATAATTGTGGTTGTTATGATGGTTGCCACTTTGCTTATAAAAAGCCATGCTGCATTGATGCTGATTTCAAATACTCAACCTCGTGTATAGATGGTTATCTTGTGTATGACGGATGTGAAGATATAGCTATGGAGTTTAAAATTTTGTCACACAAGTGTCAAAACATAGAAGAGTCATCTGATTTGTTTTCATCTATTCCAGTTCATAGTAAACAATCAACTGCAAACTACAAAAATATATACTGTGCCCTGTGTAGAATCCACAAAAATAGTTCTGAAGCTAATTCTGTTTTCCTCAAGTTCAAACCATGGAAATTTACTTTAATATGTAAAAGTGTCATTCCAATATATTTCCATGTTTTTTTGTCACACTTATTTGAAACTCGATTTTTGTCGAGTTGCAAATTAACATTAGTTCCAGATGTTTGTCACAAACGATGTCCTACTAGACCGGCTTATACCAAAGGAAATACAAGCATTCCATGGGCTTGTCAGAACTTTGTGTCTACACCTACCGGCCTAGATTTTTACAATAAACTAGGCAAATCATCGCTAAATAAGCATAGAAATATATTTTGTGCTTTGGAAGAAACGATTTATAATGAAACTACAGCTCTGATACAACATTGCAATGTAACTGGTCGGTGGAATTTTATTGACAAGCCATTACAACAAAAATGCACACAGCTTCCGCAAATTGACTTCCACTTCCCATATAAGAATATCTTTTGCAAAATATGTAATGAAGAATATAAGGAATATATCAATAGTTATGTGGGAGACTTTTCGTGTGAGTTTTTTCAACACGTTGGTGACCATTTGTATTTCCGAAGTTTGTTCTCATTTTTATCATATGAAGAACAAGCAGAAAGCCAAGGACATGGAGCCTGCAAACAGAGGCAAGTGTATGATTCTATAAAGGTAAGAATTATTAGACGCTGATAAATGTTATTATTGCATTCTGAATTCAATGTACATTTTACAAATATGCACTTGAGGGTAATGCCATAAAATATTTAATACAAGTCAGGTGAACCAAAACTGGGTTCTTTTACTGAATGGACTAAAGCTGTTCGGTTATGCATTCAGACGCGTTTTCAAAATCTGCGATATAAAATTAGCATACTTGTATCTCTTGTCTGTAATTTATCAATTGTTTACAACTCCCATTTTGATCGAATGTAGATGGCCTGAGAACACAGTTATCGTCCTTTGATTTTCGTTGTCTATAAATATAGTCCCTAGTATAAACAGTGTATTACTAGGATTTTTTTTTCATACACCTTCCCAACTTTTTTCCTCATGTTTTATGTCTCAAATACCAAGTAGGTTGATGAAATAACACCGTTAAAAATTGGGATATGAACTTTTAAGTAAGGTAGTGATTTAGAACAGTTGCAAAAGGTAAAAAATGAGCATATCTAAAGCTATCAAACTAAATTCACGACACCTTAATATAAAATTGCCCACATTTTGAGTTAAAGCTGATGAAGTTTTCTATAATTTTGATATATTTCGCCCAAAAGTATAACACCACACTGTAGAATTAATATTGATAAAACGCAAGTTCCATTTGTTTTAAATTTGCATTTATTTTCTACAAGAAATGCACAACGAAATAACTTTGTTTTCGGACCAGATTCGCATGACTGGTGACGCATGCACAGCAGGAAACGCTTACCCTGTCGACACACCTGGTTTCGCTCCTTTTAGAGTTCATGCGATTCCCTCATTTTATTTTTGTTACACTGATTTATATCTTTTGTATTGTTTTATGAGATTTTTACATCGGACATATATTTGTGCACATCGAGTGGGGCATCGAATGGTTGACCGATACAATATGTCTGCTTCTCAACTCACTAGCGACTATCTGTAGGTAACAGAATATTTCAATGGTCTGTAATTTTACTGACTGTCCTATTCCCGATTATGAAATTTTTACTGAGTGTAGATTCGCTCGTCGAATGATGCATGTATATCAGGTTATCTATTTTTCAGCAGATTTCTGTCAAAATTAGTTCGCATAGCCATGCATATCTATAATGATAACAACGACATCAGCTATAGTTTTAGAGTTGATATATTTAATTGGTGGATGTCGAGAATTATCCTCCTCAAAGTCCAAGTTTTAGAAGTCAATGCAAATAGTTTCATAGCAAAATCTGTCAGTTTCACATTTATTATTTTATTCTGATGGACTATCTTGAAAGGTTCCAAAATTATATTTTTTTGGACAATGAGAGCCCTGCATAAAAAAATGATTATCTTCATAGGGTACGAATAAAACCTATAGAACAATAAAAGACATGTATACAAAAATGCGAAAAAAAATTCCAGTCTTGGTAACATTATATGGCCAGCCAGACAAACTGATTGATCAACTGACTCATTCAAACTGAAAAGATAATTACACTTTTGCTCCTTTTTTGTAATAATTCTTCATGCTGTATGCATAATCGTACTACAATTTACATATAGCATATGCATGAGTAATTATTTACGTGTGATATTTCAGAGCTAATGTATTGGAGTTTTTTCACTTTTTCATTTTAAACGACACAAAAGGACATTTAAGGGGTGAACATATTGTAGTATTTGTTATACATGTTATATACATATTAGTAATATTAACGACAACAGCTGGCCAGTATTTTGTGTTTAAAAATTACAAACGAAACGGTATATTGAAAGATGACGTGGGAATTTCCTATAAAAACGAAACAAATACCTTGCCATAATAATACAATATTAATTGTCACTATAAGCTATCTTTGTTCAACTGATTTACAGAAACACTTCTTTTGCAGGATACATGTCGTGATATTGTGTGTTACCCTGGGCGTGTATTAATTAATGAGACGTGCCTACCACTTCTGCCATACACTTCTAATCTTGGTTATACACTTACATTTGGAGTTCATGTTCAATCTGAAGCTCCGATAAAAAACCCACAAGACTTTTTACAAATAATGAAAAAAGAAATTCTGATTCAACTAGGCAGACAGTTAAATAGAACAATTGTTCCCTTTCTTGAAAGAATGATTATGAAAGCGAATACCACGTGTTCATCAGATGTGAATTTCATTGGACCATATTTACATATATCGGTATTTTTGAAATTATTCGTTAACGTCGTTGTTAACAGAAAAGAAATTGAAACAAAACTTCTACAGTTCCAAGAAAAACAATTTTCATTTGAGCATTATTGTTTTCGGCTTAATAAAAAGCTAAATTGTATGATAAAATGCAATGTAAAATATGATAATGGTTCACTTTATCTGCCGATTGATGTGCCATTCAGAAAGTTTGATATCACAAAATGTTATCTGGAGACGACAAGTATGATACCTGAATCTCAAAAATATATTCACTCTCATATCAGTTCTTTGCTTGAGTGCCCACAGATAGAGTTAGATAAAACAGAGGTAACGATCGATGAATACCACAACTTACTTAATGTACCACAATACAGTACCGTTTTAGATTATCACAATTTCTATATAACCAGATCAGATCTGAACCCAAGGATTTGCGTAAGTACGTTTAAAAGTATGATGATCGCTTCTTCAGAAATGAGTGTGTTACGGATAATAACTCTGATATTTACAATATTATCGCTACTATGCTTATTCCTGACCTTTATTTCTTATTGTCTTTTTGAGCAGCTACAAACACTTCCAGGAAAGAACAACATGTGTCTTGTCATTGCTTTATTTTTTGCTATGGCCTTTCTAGAATTTGGTTTGAACAAAACACACGTTATAACTCTTTGTATTGTACTGGGTGGATTTATTCATTATTTCTGGTTATGTACATTTTGTTGCTTAAATGTTTGTTCCTTTCACATGTATTGCACATTTAGCAGGAATTTTGTTTATCGACAAAGAAGTAAATCAAAAGAACGAAAACGTCTCTTGCTATACATTCTATACTCATTTGGGGTACCGGCCATAATCATTATTATGAATATACTTTTTACAAATTTCCTGAATGGTAAACAATTGTATGGGTATGGCGGGAAAATGTGTTTTATTTCAGAAAGGTTATCTTTCATTATAACATTTATTGTTCCGATCACGAGCATGTGTCTGCTAAACGTCTTTTTCTTTATATATTCAGCACATTCGATTGCAACGACTCCAAAATTGAAAAATGATGATTCCTATCAGCACAATTCAGTAAATCTAGCTGTTTACATCAAATTATTTACAATAACGGGCAGTTCTTGGGTAATACAAATAATAGATTCGTTTCTTCCCCTGTCATTCTTTTCCATAATTGTGTCTCTGTTAAATGCTTTGCAGGGAGTCTATATTTTCGTTGCATACATATGCAACAAACGTGTTTTTATTCTTTATCGAAGTTTAATTTGTAATAAACCTGTTATCAAATCTGGTTCTGAATCACGAAATGTCACTACAAATGAAACTGATTTGGCATCAACAAATATATGAACTAAACAGACAGAGATTTGCATCATAATGTGAAATTACATGGAAACGCTTGAAATTTTTTTGAAAATTACGTTCAGGTAAAATGCTCTATGTTATTATTTTTTTTTTTCATTTAGTTAAGAAGCTGTGCATCATTTTTGTTGACATCACTGGTTCATAGCTGATCTACAGATTTACAGGAGTGAAAACACTGAATTAAATTATTATAATACCTACATTTTAATGTTTATTAAATCGCATTGTGTTGTCTAAAATTACAACAACAAAGAATTTCAAATGTATTTTTTGAATTGTTGTTTTGACAGTAGACATTTTCTAGAATGAATAATTTAGTAAACACGCCTTGTAATCGAAAAAAAACTATGAATCATAATTTGACAACGCTGCAGATTTGAAATATTTACTGATCTAGTATAGTTACTGTCAGAATTTTGCCGTTTTTTTCACCACTCCATTAGGAAATTATCTTGTATAATATCATTAATATGTCGCGTTTTCAAAAGTTGGTACAATTTGAATAATTTTTAAGGAAAGCGCAAGGACACTAGCGGGGAAGTTTAGTGTGATATTTTATAGGACCACTTATTGTCAGTAATGAATCGTGCAACTAAATTAAAGCTATTTCCGCTTTATCTGATATTCATGTGACATTTTGATATTGTGTAGCAAGAAGAGGAGACGGTTTGTAGAATGAGCGAACTACATAGTCATTTGGTCAATAAATGTAGAAGCCGTTTTCCATTAATGAATATGAACTTATCATAAATTTATGTTACTTGAAATAATATTTTTTACAGTATATAAGTCAGATAATGCATATTTTACTGTTTTACTTTCGTATAACACCCTTTGTAGTGTTAGGATTGCCCAAAGAAAGACACCACTACGTTCGGTATGTCATTAGATATATCATAACACCCCTCAACGACAAGAAAAATCTTAAAATATGCATTATCTATAGTATTATTATTGTTTATACCCCTCTGCTACCTTGAAATAATGTGTAACATGGTGGTGTGTATGAATGATGTAACTGTGTAAATTTTAAAAACTTCTTGCATGTAGAATACTTAATTTTTCATAACTGCCTACATTGTACATGACATTGTCGTTTAATAAACATTACATGTATGTGTTATAGCTTATATGTGAATAAAGAATTGAAAAAACAGTACGGATTTAATGCACGGTGTCAACAAAGAACACTGTTTCGTTTTACATCAATATGAATTGTCAAAATAACAACTAGGAGTAGTATTCGGATATTACTAGAATTGGATAGATGTCAGAATATTTATACAGCAAAGGTAACATATGCCGACTTGATCAGTGAAAGAAGTTAAGTATTGTTGACAATCATAATTAAAAAAAAGAAATGTAGTTAACAGTTCAATCCAGTTAAAAAAAGTCGCATTGAACTTCATTATCGTTTTAATAAGTGTTGACTTATAGCTCTTAACGTTACTGTGTATTCACCAATTCCAATTAACACGATTAATGTGAAACATGGTGGTGTGTATGCAATGGTGTAAGTGTGTACATTTCAAAAACTTCTTGCATGTAGAATACTTAAGTTTTCATAACTGCCTACATTATACATGACATTGTCGTTTAATAAACATTACATGTATGTGTTTCATAGCTTATATGTGAATAAAGAATTTTTTAAAAAGTACAGATTTAATTCACGGTGTCATCAAAGACCACTGTTTCGTTTTACATCAACATAAATTATTAAAATAACAACTAGGAGTAGTATTCGGATATTAGTAGAATCGGATAAATGTCAGAATATTTATACAGCAAAGGTAACATATGCCGACTTGATCAGTTAAAGTAGTTAAGTATTGTTGACAATCATAATTACAAAAAAAAAGAAATGTAGTTAACAGTTCAATCCAGTTAAAAAAGATCGCACTGAACTTCATTATCGTTTAAATAAGTGTTGACTTATAGCTCTTAACGTTACAGTGTATTTACGCATGTCAAATGTTTAGGTTAAATCGTTCCTGATGAAGGTAAATCCAGAAAAGCACATAGGATGGAAGAACATTATAAATTGTTTATTTCATTTATTAGCACTAGGTCGATACCACTGTTGGTGATCTGTTAGTCACCAACAGTATCATCACCTCAGTAGTCAGACATGATTTATAACATATACTATAAAACTCCCCGTTCACTAATTCCAATTAACACGATAAGGACCTCTGGACTAACCATCAGCAAGCACAATCGAAAGCAAAAGTTCGAAAATCAAAACAGATAAACTGTTTAGGAGCATTTAAAGTTAGAAAGGCTTTATAACATGAACATCTCATCTAAGCTAAGTTCGTCTTATCGAGTAATGTTTTAACCAGTAATGACACATTATGACTCTTTATTCAAAAGCACCTGCTATTTTGTTCTTTTCTGGCATTCATGTATATTCGAACCTTTCCATTGATTTCGTCGGGAAGGCTTGAGACCAATGTTTGTACAGGTATTTAAATATATTTAAACATGAAAATCCTAAAGGTGTTTGAGGAAAAAAGAGATGGTAGTCTAAGGACAACTTTATTTGAGGAGCTGCAACATAATCTTGATACAATTGCATAATTAGAACACATGAAATTAAGAGACATTCCGTTTTGAATTTTCCTTGGAGTTCCTTAGTTTTGTTATTTTACTTTTTAATATTAAAATGCATCATTTAGAAAGGCATGGATATAGGCCGATCAACGTATATGTGTTCCTTTTAACAGAAAGTCCTCTTGAACATTGCTAAAAATAATCTTTCCCTTCGAAATTTTACGGATGTTGGCCGTTATTGAATATTTGTTCCACAGATAACGACGGATATGTTCCAATTGTCGTAACCACGATCCTTTCCTATTTCCCTCGAATGCGACCTACTGAATGAGACTTATTACCAAGTGTGTACTTTACACAACGGATGCCACATGTAGAGTAGGATCTGCAAACCCTTCAGGAGCACCTGATGCGATAACCCCGATTTTTGACGGGTTCGTGTTGTTCAGTCTCTAGTTTTCTATGACTTTTTTGTAGACTATTGTTTGGTTTTTTCTCGTTTTTCGTTTCTTGCCATGACATTGTCAATTCGATTTTCGACCTATGTGTTTGACTATCCTTTTCGTATCTTCCGCCTCTATTTTACAATATTGGTTCATGTTGGAAAAATACTGGTGAACAACCCAAGTAGGTGGTGAAATTTTCAACTTACGTACGTCGAGGTTGGTCTGTAAATTTATCAATCGTGTTATATTCCCGATCGTAACAAGTCAAGATTAGCTTGCCTGGTTATGCATGCATAGCAGAAGATGCATATCTTGCGGACACATCTGGTCTAGATCAGTTCGGAGATAATAAGTTACCGTAAGGTTTTTTCCATGGTTTGTATCTCACAAAAAAGGTTTTAATCTAAAGGTATGGTCAATTCATTTACGCTAAGCACGCACCACTAGTAATAACAGCTAACACTGTCAAACTCTAAGTCAAATTCCTATGTGTGGATGTAGCTTGAACCTTAATAATTTACATCGATCTATCAAAAACAACAGTGACAATGCTTCGTTTTAATCGTTTCATTCATTATTTCCACGGCCGTAATATAGACATTGCTACTTGGACACCTATGGTCAATTAAGAATAGCATTATACACTTAAATAAATGTCGATCAAGTCGTGAAATAGAAAGAATCTTCAAATTTGTGATTTTGTCTTATTCAAAGCTATTTCTATTTGAAAATTTGACTTTGGGAATCGTTCTGGAACTCCTTAATGTACCTAAATATAAATTGTTGTTGAAATCCTAGCACATAAAGAAGAAAATCCTAGTTTACTTTTAAAGATAAACTAAGTACGCATCATCGAAAACATTTATCAACACACCAATAGCCCTATACTAAGTACTCCTTGCCGAAAAGATAGAGAAAATTTCTGGATAAGGGAACTAGGTACTGCAATGCCATATGGTTGCAATGATGACATCAAAGGAGTAGAAAATTTGTCAAGTCCAGCCTGCAGTGATGCAAATGTAATGAGCTTATTTAATACTACTTTAAGACACCAGCGTAGTCATTGGCAAAAACATCACCATCGGACCAATGTGAAAAAGTCTTCCAAATCTAGATCGCCATCTGGGAGCTTTGATGACCTTCTTTCACTCCTTCATCATCCGCTAATGTTACATTACTATGGAACGCCACAGCTATCTTATGTGGAACTCTGATATTACTTTATGTTGTTTTATTATTACTTGATGATATTTTGTCTTTACTCAATATGGTTTTGACATTACGTAATGATGTTTTGATATAACTCAATATGGAATAGTCATTACTTAATGATATTTCGATATTACACGATATGGTTTCGTATTGATTTGATATAGTTTTGTAATTACTCAATATGGTTTTGTCATTACTCGATGTGGTTTCACCATTATTTAATGTGGTTGTGTCATTAGTCAATGTGGTTTTAACATTACTTGATGTGAATGTGACTTAACGTTATGTGGTTGTTTCATTACATGATGTGGTTTTGTTATTTTGTAACGATGATCTGCCTATTATTTATATGGTTTTAACATTACGTAATGATGTTTCAAAATTTGACGATTTTACACTAGATGATGTGTTTGTTTCATTATTTAATGTGGTCCTGTCATTCTTTGATGTGGTTATCCCATTACTTGATGAGGTTAAATCACGTGACCAATTCGGAAAAACCTGTTCTATTTTTAGATAGATTTCCATGTTGTATGTGCGTTGGATGAGTGTGGCCATCCATCGAATTAGAGTTCAAATTAAAGTTCAGGTTACTGTTTGAGTTATACTTTGAGTTAGTCTTCGATTTCGAATTCAAGTCATTATTAGAATTAAAGTTTTAGTTCGCATTGAGTTTCGAGTTGGACTTCAAGTTTGAGTCACATTTAAAGGTCGAGTTCTAGTTACAACATTAGATTTGAGTCACTTTTTGAGTTTGAGTTAGATTCGAATTTAAGTCTCATTCAGATTAATTAAGATTTTGAGTTGAAATTCGAGCTATCTTATATGAGTTCGTAATTAAATTTTCTATCGCGGAACAAGGACTTTTGCTCGGGCTTCCAAAAAGAGGGCTCCGGGGTATGCGTACAAAAGATAAACTATGTTACAGTATACAAAATCGCAACATAGAAGTTGAAATAAAGTTAGATGAGGTATGATTGACAATGAGACAACTATCCACCAGAGTTTAAATGCAGTGGGTGTAAGAAATCATATATAGACAACCGTACAGCCTTCAACACACCGTATAGTCAGCTACAAAAAGGCCATCATGCACCATGTGAAAAAATTCAAACGACAAAACAAACGGTCTTATTTATATTTAAACAATCTACAAAAAAAATGACACACATTTATACAACGACAACAATTGAACTTCATGCTAAATCCTAACCTTACATCGGACTGTTACAGTTGTGTAACAGCACAAAACGAGAAAAAAAATGTAAACTAGACAAAGTGATGCCCCTGCACTCAACTCATTTAAATTAACCGCTTATACCCCAAAAATGACCAAAAAAAAAAGATCAATTATCTCCCAAAAGAACAAAAGATAATAAAAATAAAAACCCAGACCACATGCACACCTTTAAAAATTGTACAAACAGCCAGCATAGTGAAAGCTTCCTAGCATTCAAACTGTAGGAGGAATTATCTGGAAACGCTCTTCTTATGCAAGTAAATTTCCCAAAAAATTACAAAAAAAAGTTCAACTATCTCCCAAAAGAGCAAATATTAATGAACATTAAACCCTGACCACATGCACACCTTCAATATATGTACAAACAGACAGTAAAGAGAAAACTTCCTAGGATTCAAACTGTAGGAGGAGTTATGCGGAATAACTATATATCTATAATGGGACGGACAGACGGACGGACAGACGCGCAGGGGTAAAATAATATGTCCCCCAACTTTCAGTTGCAGTGGCATACAAAACAGTTTCATTTGGCTGACTCAATAGATCGGTATGACTGGGTAATATAAATCCATCGGGGTGATCTCGGATGCTCCAGAAAGGCACCCGTCGTGTTATTCGAGAAAGTACAAACCCAGTGATTTGGTTTTATTTGGTAGTTCACATTCAAGGAAAAGATGACAGTATTATGGTTACGACCACTGGAACATGTCCGTCGTCACATGTGAAACAGATATTCCAAAAAGTTTATTTTTCAATTAGTGCGAGGTAGATCAGGGAATTCAATTGATTACAAATAAAAGATTGATATTCATATAAGTTAAAATGATAATTTACGCTAAAAAAAAAATCGGAGAATTCTTATTTTATAGTATTTATGCTTTGTCGCTAAGTCCGAGCCCCCTCCCCCCGTTTCCCTGTAACTTTAGTGTGAGTTGATTTGAAGTGTTTCATTTGTTAACAATAAAGTTCAAGTCTTTTGATTTGTGTCGAGCCTGCGACATCAATGTAGCGGCAGTGAGACACAACAAACCTATATTTCGTCGTCGATAGTGGCGTCAGCGTCTATATCTCCATTTTTTTTTTAAATTTCTATTGAGTTTAACCTTTCATTATACATGTTACTAAACATGTATTGCCATCATAATTTTATACTTTTAGAATATCATACTG